CGTCAGCGCAGAGCAGTCCATCCGGTCCGTGGGGGCAGCATGGCCGGCAACGCGAACCGCCATGCCGAACTTCGTCCCGCCATCGCGGCCGCATTTTGACTGCAGCGTGTCAAATATACCTGCAACCGAAGGAGAATGGGAGGCTTCCCGGAGTCTACGCCCGCTCGCCGGGCACATATGTACGGGTGTCCACAGGGTTTCCGTACTTCCGAGACTCGGTGAACGGACATCCGAGCATCGGCATCCTGATGTCCGGTGTCCGGTGTCCGGACAAGGAATCATTTGTACTGATTCCTCTCTGAGCTCCGCTGCACTCTCAGCGAGAATATGCAGAACAGCCTCACCGAGTGCACACAGAGGTATGCCGAGAGATCATTCTGTATGTAATCTGAGTCAACTACGGGAGGCTGCCGAGAGATTGACATAAGAACTTTCCTAGACAATTCCACTGTACTCGCTGCGATAAGATCCCGGCATCTTGGAGAATACATTATCAATTCTTGCAGAGGGACTTCATAGGGGGTATGCTGGCTTCCTTTATAGTAGTTGTAGGCAAATCATGACGAACATGTGTCGAAATGTTTATGTAAATCTTCGACGTGTTCTTGTACAGTGTATACAGATATTCTTCTCTATAAGACCACCATCATTTTCATGCAGTCCCACCGATAGTACATCACGTCTGAGCCCCGATTGTACACCGAGACGAGGGAGAGATTCGTTACATTCGTTTCTGTCTATTCCACGGCATGATAAGTCATGACCATTTGTCTAAATATCAGTAAAATTCCAGCATCCCGCTGCGATCCGACAGCCATTCACTTCTAGTGGCATCCGACCGCGACGACCATGTCTTCCGTCGCGTCTCGTGTAGTAGGCCGCACAGCCTCGAGCGGCGTGCATCTCTTCAACTTGCGGCCCGCAACCGGTTCTACGTCCACTGTACGCGTTCTCGCAGCTGTCTGACTTGACGCGCCGCTCATGGTACCGTGTATAGCAAAAACGTCTGGGTCGTGGTCGTCGTTCTGGTCTGGGTAAGACCTCCGGTCGCGGTCATAAGGGTCAGAAAGCGCGTGCGGGTAATGGGAAGCCTACGCCGAGCTTTGAGGGTGGACAGACGACTATCGTGAAGCGTATTCCGAAGCGCGGGTTCTTTAACTAGTGCGTGGACTTGACATTCGGACTAGTGCGTGGTGCTGACGTGGTACTACAGCAATGGGAAGACATATGCGCCTGTGAACCTCGATAGACTGGCGCATTGGGTCGCGGAGGGTCGTATCACGTCTACACCGGAGAAGCCTATCACCGCTCGCGAGCTGTTGTTGAGTGGGTGCATTCATGACGTGCATGACGGCGTGAAGGTTCTCGGAGACGTGTGTATCTGCTCTCATAGCGCCAGAGGCTATTTGCTGACTTGTATATAGGGCGCTGAGCATCTCAAAGTTCCAATCCATATCACCCCGTCCAAGGCATCCAAGTCTGCCATCAAGGCTATCGAGGCTGCCGGCGGCTCGGTATTCTGCCATTATTACAACCGTCTCGCACTACAGGACTGCGTCAAGGGTCGCACAGACAGGATATCTGCCGCTCCGACGAACCGCAAAGACATCCGTACGTTTCACGTACTCGACAAGCCTGAGGTTATTCTGACGCTTTATTGTAGTGTGGTATACGAAGTGGCACAACCGCGGCTATTTGGCACCGAAGAGTATTGCTTCGATGCCGATTGTCCAGGAGAGGTGGAAGGCGCTGTCCAAGGAGCTTACGGCGTATCAGGACCAGAAGGGTTTCACGCTTGACAAGCCTGCACCGGCGACGAAGACGGTTTGAGAGGCTTTTCTGCACACATTTACACTGCTCTCGTTATTTTGTACATCTCGCTCTTCGCTCTAATGCACACTTTCATAATCAAGTCGAATTGCAACGGTCGTTTGCACGGCGTGAAGAATGATGGCGGTAGAGCCCCATGGGCACGAGTATGAGATATCATTCGGCTGGCGATTTTGACCGAGAGGGACTCCGCGAGACGTAGCGTGAGCCAGCGGGTGACGGTGACCTCGACGGCGTACGTGATTTGTAGCCAGAGCCAGAGGGAGAAGGTGAGCGCCTCGCGCCGCTGTCCACGCTCATAGCGCTGCCAGCACGACTGCGTGGTCGACTGGCTGGAGTCCCGCTTCGCGAGCGCGAGCGGCTCGTCCGGTCGCTCCGCGCCTCTTCCTCCCTGCCCTCCATAGCATCCAGCAGTCTGCTCTTTCGCGGACCAATCTCCCCGTTCTCCTCCAGTATTTGACGCTTTTGTATTCGCGGGAGGATGATGTCGCAGACGCGTTCTTCGGAGAGTAGTTGATCGACGAATTCGTCTATGAATGTGAGCTGGTATCCAGCTGGCGTTCGAGTCAATCAGAGGTCAGGGTGGGACGACGGAGGGGACGTACACATATCTCGTAATCGTAGTTTTCGATAATCTTTTAGTAGGGGTTCCAGAAGCTCGTAGACGTCCACCGGGCTGAAGGTCATTCGTATATATAGCGCGGCTAGCGCCCGTAGATATCTGTGTGCGAGCGGTGAGTCGAATCAGAGCGAGGAGGCGAAGAAGGCACGCACTTGAACTCGTCGGCTTGCAGGTACTCTATTAGAATCTCCTTCTCCGGCTGGATTTGCAGCAGTTTGAGGAGCAAGCAGATGAACTCCGTCGGCCGTTGGTTTCCGTATACACCGCCGATGTAGCGGACCTCGATGGCCTTGTCGATGAGCGTCTCAGCTGCCCATACGTGTAAGCAGAAACCATAAATACAGAGATACCATGGCGCACCAGTCAAAGCAAAGCAGTGCTCCTTCCAGAATTGGGACTCGTAGATACGGTTCCGGATCACGGTTTCGACCAAATACTATCCTTTGCTCAATATGAGCGTCGAACGCAGACGCGAGGTTCCAATTACCTGCGGATTTTGGCCGTGGATGGCAAGAGCACCACGGACGGTAGTGTTAGCCATGGTAGATGCCGAAACAAGAAAGAAGTGGGAGAAGCGGTGGTGGCGGAAGAAGACAAAGTCAAAGTGAAAGCCACGCGCGTTCGAGAGACGCGAACTCACGCGCCACACGCGCGCGTCTTCTTCTCTTTACTGCCGACCACCAACTTGGGCGTTGCCGGTGGCAGCGAGCACCAACCTTTGCGCAACTTTTCATTCCACGCATGGCACGTACAGTCGCCGAATCAGGGTATGTGGCGCCTCTGCCCGGTGCCCTGGCGTTGGAGGACCGATCAATGACGTCGCGCGCCAGGTCCAGCGCCTTCGTCTGTCTCTTCTGCGCGCAGGACCTCAACGCCTTGGACCAACACGCTCGACAGGCCCACTACGACGCTCACCTATCCGAGCCGGGGCCCTCTGCACGTGCGTCTGTAACAGCCTTCGTGCGCTCATAAAGCTGACCGTATATATTAGTTCCGCCGTCTTCCCTGCCGAGAGGCGACCCACGCGCCGGCACACACTCGCAGGCCGATATGGGCTTCTTCTCTGCGTCTGAGAAGGGGAAGAGTACACAGGACGTATTTTGGCACTCGGCGCTGGATGCGCAGCCACCGCCGAATCATACCCCTGGTACGCGGTCTCACTTTTCGGGCTGAAACATAATATTTACGCTCGCAATAGGCCTGATACCGCTCTTACGGTCCCAGTTGACGTCCTCTCATGAGAAGGGGTATACACGACGCGCCGTGACATGCTTTGACCAGGCCGTACATATCACGCACGAGAGCTTCGATCGCGGTTGGGGTTGCGGGTGCGTCACTAGCCTTCTTACAGTCGGACTCCAGTCTTATTTTTGGTCTCAGCTATCGAAATTTCACCATGGCATGCGCGGCGCTCGCCGCTCAGCCCTGTCAACCGGAGTATCGCGAGCTTCTCAGCGGCTCGTTAACGCCTGGCGTTCGTAACCTGCAGGATATAATCGAACATGCTTGGGCAGCAGGTACGTCGATGATCCGATGAGTCGAGCTCACGCCTGACGCCTTCTTGCAGGATTCGATCCGGAGGGTGCCGCGCAACTGAAGAATAAGCTGAGGAGAACGAACAAGTGGATAGGGACCGCAGGTGCGTTTATAGTTGATTGCCTGCACGCTCCATCTCATTTTATTGTCGCAGAATTGCACGTCGCGTTTAGTTACCTCGGCATCCCCTCGCATTTAGCGGACTTTGCACTACCGCGCACGAGTTTCAACACTCGCGGTCCGACCTCCTCGTCCTCGCTGCGTGTTCATCCACTCATACTCCCCGTCTTGTAGACACGAAGCCCTTGCTGGACTGGATCCGTGCGTACTTTGACCCCGCTCAACCAGGGTCAAACGCGAATCCGTGGAAAGGCGCTCGTGCGGTCATTCCGACGGATAAGATGCCGCTTGTGTTGCAGCATGATGGACATTCGAGGACGGTCGTCGGCTATGAGATCACGAAGAGCGGCCAGACGAACTTGCTTGTGTTCGATCCTGCGACGTATGTCTTACTCCCTCATACGTTCTGCCGTGACTTAACATATCGTCACAGGCGAATGCGCGAGCCCATACGTGCGGCGGGATTGGCACGATGGATGGCAGATCATGGGGCCCAGCAGCCGCTCACGGATAAAGCCAACTCGAAATCATCGCGCCTCTTGAACTCCGTCAAGCACCCGCTGAATGCCATGAAGCACGCGAAACGCGTGCGGTCTCCAGAACAGAGCCCCAATCCCATGAAGCGGCATCGTGCGGATATCATCGAACTCGATAGTGACGGCGACGTCGTTCCTGCACGTGCGGCGGGCAATGGGGCGATTCAGCGGCAGATCGGTGGACGGGCTGCGCCGTCGGGGATGGATGAGGCGGAAGTGCTGATGCAAAGACATGCGAGACGTGCGGGCGCGACGGATGTGCAGCCAAGTGCGAGTCTGCCGTCTACTGCAGATGTGCTGAAGGTTTTCCGGTTGGACAATCGACGGCTGGGGTGAGTCTTTGCGATTCCACTGGGAATTCTGATAGCAATGTGCTAATATCTGGATAGGACTCACAGCAAGTATCAGGTCCTTTGGTTTCCTCTTACGGACCCGCTTTCGGAGCGTGATAAGGTTGCCTTGCGGGAGGTTCATAGTGAGAAGATATGCTAGGACTTATTTCTGGGACATTTGATATCGGACATCTTGATGGACATATTCACAATCTAATCACACACGAGAGCTAGAGTATGGTTGCTGTGGTTGAATCAGTATTTGCTGTGGTGTGAAAGATATCTGTTGTAGTTCACTAGTAGTTTGACATCTCATGAGTAGTGGCAACAGGAAAACTGCTAGGGGTGCACTTATGGGAAACCTCCGAGCCACGCGACTGGCACTCAGACAGACAGACAGACACTGAGTGCTTATACCCAGAGACTACTTGAGGGCAAGCAAAGGTGGGGAGGGAGAAGACAGGAGAACACTGCAGAGGGTAGATTGCAAGATAGATGAACTAAAGGAGCTTAGGTACATGGGGGAAGAGTCTTATATACAAGTGAAGGCAGTGCGGGAACAGGGGGACGAGGACAGACAAGTAGGTAGATGACTGAGCAAGCCGGGCCCCGCTGACAAGGGGAGGGTGTGTAAGCAGGCTGAGTCATGCATGAACGGTGTGAGTCCGGAGTCCGTGTGCCGGAATGCCGAGATGCCGAGTCAGAAAAGAAAAGAAAAGGGAAAAAAATAAGGATATTGTTGAGTTATGTGACATCCAAACCATGCCATTGCCCCCTCTCTAAGACATGCTTACGCCCGGAGCATGTTGTCTAGGGTCCCTGGTAATTTTTTGGGCACGGCACTTTAGAATGTTGTTTATGGTACTCAGCTATAGCATCCTTCGCGTTCTTGAGGGTGGACACTGGCCGCCACAGGTTCGCCGTGTCTGGGTAGCCCTCCCATTTGATGAGGTATTCAAATCCGTGCTTCTTCCTGGTCTCCTGGCTATTCAGGATGGCCTCCACCATGTACTCCTCCTTATTTTTGACCAGCTCAGGTCATTCCTCTGTGTAGTTGGGGCCGTGTTCTGGCGTCTCCATGTATAGTGTGAGGAGCTGAGCGTGGAAGACTGGGTGAATCCGCTTCCAAGTCTTAGGAATATCCAGATGGAAGTTGATAACAGTCTCCGGATCACTGAGGACCTCCGTGATGGTGAATGACCCGTATTGCTTGGCGTCAATTTTAGCTTTCGGTCATACTGACTTGAGGTTCTTTCCTTCCAACCAGACCTTGTCCCCGACCTTAAACAGTTTATAGGTGTCCTCGGGGACACTGTGGCGGTCCTTCATGAGTTCCGCGGCAATCCGAAGGCTGGCCTGTGCCTCCTTGCATATAAACTCAAGATGGCGTAATCGCTCCCGCAGGTGGGGTAAGCGTGCAGTGGGAACTAACTGGGGATATGTTACGGACACCCGATTATCCATTATTCATTTTCTTTTCCTTTCCTTTTCTGGCCTCTCATGTGACTCGGCAATCCCTGTGACTCACGAACGACTCATCTAATTCCCGCCCTTTGTTTACCTCTATTTGTCTTGCCTTACCTATATAAGACTGCGCTCTCACTTGTAACTTATCTTTAACCTTGATCTAGTCAATACACCGGCTACCTAGCCGCTTGCCTTGGTCTACTCGCTCGCCCCTTCTCTGTATTAGTAAGCGGCCGCCTAGCCGCTGCTGACAGGATAGGTGTGTGGTGTGAAGCCATAAAGCAACTCAAACGGTGATTTGCCAGTGGATGCCTGCACCTGAGAGCTGTGCGCGAATTGAGCTAGTGGGAGCCAGTCCACCCAATCTTCCTGACGGAAGTTGCAGAAAGCGCACAGGTATTGCTCCAGTTCCTGGTTGAAGGGTTCCGTTTGGCCGTCTGTCTGAGGGTGATACAAGGTGCTGAGCGAGGACTTGACACTGAGCTTACTGAGCAACGTCGGAGTGGTGTCACTAGCAAACTGCTAGGGACACACTTGGTGGGAACCTCTAAGCCACGCAATATGACACACAGACAGATAGATATCAAGCACAAGAGTGTGCAAGATATAGGCAGATAGCAGAGGAGAACATCAACAGGCTGGATTGCAAGATGGACGAACTAAAGGAGCTTAGGTACATGGGGGAAAAGTCTTATATACAAGTCAAGGCAGTGCGGGAATGGGATGACAAAGACGGACAAGCAGGTGGATGACTGAGTGAGCCGGGCCCTGCTGACAAGGAGAGAGTGTGTAAGCGGGCCGAGTCATATGTGAATGGTGTGAGTCATGCAAGTCTGAAGTCCATATGCCGGGATGCCAAGATGCCAAGTCAGAAAAGAAAAGAAAAGGAAAAAGAATAAGGATATTGTTGAGTCACGTGACAGTCAAACCATGGCAAAAACACTCAGCCTGTGAGTACTGCACTGTATCAACCAATTGTTTAAGTTGGCTGGGTATTACAGCAGATTGTAAGGAGATAGAAAGGTTGCCACAAAAAGATGAAATCAAAAGTTGTTTACCTGTGAGCTTCTCTGACTAATCACGGGCGGCGGCTTGTCGGACCAGAACACATGGGACCTCCACTCTTGTCCTCCTTGCTGGCATCCTGTCTTTTCTCAAGGCATTAGAGAACTGGGAAAAGTGTGCGGTAGGGTACAGTTTTGAGTAGCGTGGGTAGCACAGCAAGCACAAGCTCTCTCAACTTACCTGGTGCATAGTGATGGTTTTGAAGTGAGAGGAAGAGGCAAGTGACTCAATGTAGAACTCTGTACAGTACTGGGTTTATATAATTGTTTGCAGTAGCATACAGAGATAGCCGATAGATAGAAAACAGCTAGAGAAAGAGATGACATGGGACCCCATATGGCTACCTGGGTCCAGAAACCTCGGATATTAAAGGCCGTTAAAGGGCCGAGAAATCCGAATGTTAACAATTATTATTTGCCGGCATCCAGGCGACCGACCACGGGAATGGCCCACCAGGTGGGCGCATGCGCTTCCTAGGATCAGCAACATTGACGGCTGATGTATACGACCTCTATAGCTATTAGCCAGTATCTGTAAGTAGTACAAGAGGGAGGAGAACATATGCCGGATTAGTATAGATGCCATGGGATTGCAATAATCATTATTACATGTGGTAGACAATACATCTACATTGTACGCGGCTTCGACGGGCCTGCTACAGCATTTGGATTCAATTTAACAGGGCTAGGTGCAGGACGAAGATGAGTAGACGGCTCGGAAGTGGGCAGAATTGTTGGAATCTCGGCAGGATGCTGTAACTCATTGAATGAAGCCCCACGAAGAAAGATCACATGACTATGCTTGATACTCAGATGCTGATTTTGAGCCTGTAGCGCCTGCGACACTACTGGCGACATGGCTAATCCAGCTGCAATGCTTCCCAAGTGCTCAAACTCCTGATCGCGTGCACGGGCGGCTTGCGTCAATCCTGCCAGAGTCAGCAGGTTACGGGCGTCGCGTGCAATGTCACGATCCTTTGCCTATACACTGTGCAAAGCATTGGCAGAATTTGGGCCATTCACGCCCTCACGGGAGCTCGGTTCCGACTGTGCAGCACGTGATTGCAGCCACTGAGCAAACGATGGAGGATCTGTGAGCTATCAGTGAGCGTCTATGAACAAATATTGAGTGTTCCTAACATACCATCATGGCTAGTAAGCTGGGAATATAAAGAAGGAACGATCGGAGCGAAGGGAACTTTGCCAAGGTGGCCATACGCGAGTATGTTGAGCTCGGCGCTACGCTTCCGACCATTAAGAGGCAACTGTGTATCGTCGTTCAATTCAGCACCAGCTGCGGGAGGCTCGTGGTTGGCCGGTATGTCTGGCAAATTCAATAAGCATGTTGCAAATGATGCAGTTTATTCTATCTGGCATACCTGTATGGGGTGCCTCATTCTCGTCTTCAAACTCAGGACAAACAAGCCCCTTAAACTTTGTGTCCTGCCTGTCAGGCACCCTCAAGGTATGTGCTTGTTCAAGAGTTTTTAATGATGCAGCATCTGCAGAGCTTACCAGGCGCGCGCGTTTAATGTTCGGCTGCAGAGGGGGACTGGGAGATGCAGAGCGTGTGCGGGAGCTATGGATGGGCATTGTGGACGGTGCTGAGAAAGCACAAGTCCAGATAACGCAGAGGGAATGGCAATCACGGACCGGAATGCTGGGTGCCCGGTGCCGGATGCCGGGGTGCCGGGGTGCCGAGCACCCGCGGCGGCCGGAACTGTCGGCACCAATGAGTCAGCTTCGAAAATTTTCGTTTCCGGGCTCACCCGCATGATGCGTGCACTGCGCACGTTGCGCAAGTCTTGCTTTGATCCCAACCACCATCTGCTTAGTCTCTGCTTGCACTTGCGCTTGTTCTGTCCCCTCCCGCCCTCAGCTAAACTGCTTACTATGAATGTCCCCAATGACAACACTTGGTTCACTGGCAAGGGTCGTACTAATGAACCCGTCACCGTGGATGAGCTCAAAACGGCTCTCGCCTTGTACTATGGCCGCATCCAGCAAACACCGCGAAGCTGTAGCTGTGCGGCGCATCACCACATGCCTGGATGATATTCAGTGCATTGCAAAGGATAGGAAAGGGTTGTTGGCCCCAGGGAATGTGCACTTTTACTTTGTATTCTTTGTTGCGGAAATGGTGCGTGAACTTGCCGTATATTCCGCTCCTATGCTAACATTCACCTACAGAATGCCGCGAAAGATGTCACTCGCAAGCACCCCAAGTTTGCGCCCTGGCACACGAAGATGATGGAGCCCGCGGCCAACGGCTGGTCGGACGAGCTCATGGTCGAGTACTTCCTCGGCAGCAACCCCTTCACCGTCGACGTCAGATACGACGAGTGGCTCTCAAATGCGAACGGTCCAATTCAGTGGTGGCACGCACTTGGTACGTTATCGTGTTTTTCTATTTCTTCACGTTGCTAAATAACGCTTAGGGTATACAAAGCACGTCAAGGAGACAATCACGCGTTTCCACATCACGCAGGCGTTGGACGCAAAGAGGGAACGCGAGGAGCGGGAGGCCGAGGAGGAGAAGGCGGCGGAGGAGAAGAAGAAGCAGGAGGAGGAGGAGGAGGAGAAGAAACGGAAGGAGATCGCGCGGAGGGCGAAGCTGCAGGCGTTGGAGCGGGAGATGGCACGGTTGAAAGCAGATTCGGACATGGAACTGGATGCGGAGGACTCTCATGGCCAGGACGACACGACCGCAGCTGCAGCAGCACCTCAAGAGCAGTGAGGAAGGCCAACACGCGCAGCTGCCACCGCCGGCACTGAGCGTACTCGCGAGGGTGCTCGTAGTGTGTCCGCTGAAGGCTCTGACTACACGCCAGAGTCTCCTACGCCCACGCGCAAACCATCCGCACGTCCCACTCCCGCAACCACGGCACCCTCAGCACCCTTGGCATTGTCGGCACCCTCGGCACCCTCAGCATCGTTGGCACCCTCGGCACCCAGGGAGCGTCTGCCATCAAATCCGCAAGCCACAGCGCCTAAGAAGAAGTCTCCCAGTTCAAAGAAGTACTCCAGCAGCATATGGCTGCGACCGTCGAGCGTCACTGGGCAGAACGTGAAGTTTGACGCCGACCATACGCACATCAAGATCATGGAGCATGCGGAAAAGCTCCCGGAAAGCGAGTATCTCGACGACACCGAGGTGTGGAGTCATGTTGGAGTGCACGGGCTGGATCCTGAAAAGGTCCTTCTCATAAAGGTGTGTCATCTTGTTTTCTCCTTCAATTGGGCATATATCTAATAATCTTTAGACTTCTTGCAACAGATGCAAAACCTACGGGTTGATCTTCTACTTCCGCGGCACGCCAACGTGCTTGCCATGCTACTTCGGCCATGGCAAGTGCAACAATGCAACACTTCCCGACCTTCCGGACAGCAAGGAAATGGCCGACTATAACGCGAACAGGAACGTACGCGTGGAAACGATCAACTGGTTCATCGAGTGCAAGTTCATCGCGCAGGACACTTGGCAAAAGTGGTTTGACGTCAACTGTGCGCTCTCATTTTACTATTTTATTATAAGAAGATGCTAACGAAGCTGTCCAGGGAACCGTCTCGTCACTGGCAATGCTAGCGCCGACCCTGAACTTCTGCCTCCGCCGCCAGGTGCAGCTCCCCGTTCAAAAGCGGGTCCCACCACTGTTCAACACAGCGTGCAGCCCGGCGCGCCCGCTACGCCCGCCCAGCAAGAAGCGCAACCCGAGCAACGTTCACCCATGCTTGACGACATCCCGCTCGACTTGCCACTGGATGACCTCGTCGACGGTCCGTCCAGCCTCGAGATGGAGCCTATAGACGTGGATGCGGCTGATATAATGCCCAAGCAGACCAGCTTGAAGCGCGGGTGCTCAGACTCGGTGCAGGAGGGTGGAGAAACGTCTGCGCAGCTGCACCCGCCCAAGCGCATGGACAAGGGCAAGGGTAGAGCACCGCCTGAGGATGTCACTGAGGCTCCCGACACGCTCGGTGATGATGCACCACCCTTGCCATCCGCCATTGCTGCTGCCCAGGCGTTGAACAAGGGCGTTCGGATTGTGGAGCCCTCTCCGCTTGAGCCGACACCCTCGTCCAACCCTGTGCCCGCTACTTTCCGCCCACCTGCAGCCACAACAACCCGCCAAATTCCGCGCGCTGGTGTGGACGAGTTTACTCGCTCTTCGGTGGCACCGTCAACAATGTCGACCAGTGTGGATGTTCAAGTGCCTGCTTCCGCGTCCGCAGAGCCTCCAAGGGTTCCGAGTGCTTTGCATCCGGCTTCCGTACCCACGCGATTCGCACAGACCAAATCAGAGCTGCGGGAGGTCGTTGCGGACCTCAATTCGGCACGCAAGACGCTCGCGGAGACGCACAAGCAGACGGCACAGATGATGGAGGGCACCCGTCACTTTGTTGCAGCTAGTGTCGAGCACCTCAAGACCGTTCGTGAAGCTGCGAAGATGGACAACGTTCTTCAGCTTGTTCTGAACGGCCAGGAGATCATGATGGCAAAATTGGAGTGGTTGGAAAAGGCGCAGCAGCGCATGGAGGAGCATGTCTTTCCCAACAGCCCCCCAACTCCCGCGGTCGCGCCCAAGCACTTCCTTCACGATGTGCTCGAGAAGAAGTATCCCGCACAGGGCACGGGCGCTCTCCCCCAGCCAATGACAAACTGGCCAACCACCCTGACTCAGGGAACTTCGCTCAAGGTCGCGCTGGTTGCTCTGGTAACTCAAAATCCCGCGGCTGGGTCCTCCACATGCCTGACAACGTCTACATCATCCGTGGGAGTGGTGACAACCCCTTCAACCGCCCCATCTTCGACGCCAGTGGCCGCAAAGCCTGCGACATCCTCGGCACCGAAGCCTCCAACTTCCGCGGCACCGCATGTCCCGGCTTACGCGGCACCTACACCTCCCGGGACGTTGCGTCCCTCGGCACCGTCCCTCCCCAAGCCCGCCCAAGCTACGAATGCGCCTCCGCCTGCTCCCTCCTCCTCTACAACGTCCATGGCCCCCGCAAGTGCTGCGCCTACTGTGGGGCATACATGCATGGCTTCCGCGCCTGTACCTGTCATGACTGGACCTCGCACGCACATTGCGAGATCGGTTTCGATGCTGCCAGGTGGCGTTAGTATGCCACCTTCAGCCACGGACGTGCTCAAGCAGGCGCTGAGGACTGTGGTTGTCTCTGTGGTTAGTAGAACCCCTGGCTATTGCCGGGCAAGCATGGTTGACTAACCCGCGGGTTCCAACTAACCACCTGGAGCATTTAAATAATGCTGCTA